TTTCACAGTACAGAGATGACCATATAACAACCAGATAAAAATAGTAACAAAAAATGCTTTACATTACTTTTAAGCAGCCACACTTTGTACAAACACACCTCATTTCCTTTCAGCTATGAAGGCTGCTACAGCTGTGATCAGCTGTCTTCATAAGGAACCAAAGGCATTAAACATCATCATATTGACCAGTGCATGAGCACACTAATGCAATGCGGATTCCATGTATCCTCAGATGTGTCCTTATTGATTGCAAGGAAATACTTGCTAATAGGTCCCTTAACACCTGTATGTAACAGGTACGGTGATTGATCAGAGGAGACTCCAGTCTTCTGCAGCTGTGTAGATGAAGACCGCAGTGTGAGTTGTACTAGATTGTCAGAGAAGGGCCAGAAAGTAAAGGGGAAAGATTGCGTTGAGACAGGATAACAGCAAGCTGGATACATTTCCCTGTTCTGGAAGCTCTCCATGTCCCCCCGGAGTGAGGGCAGGTACACGCTGTAGGGACCCAAGCTCTCAGGATAAAGGGGAGGAGACTTTTTTCCGACTCCTAAGACAAAACAAATGCACTTTTTAGTTTGCCTATAGATGCCCCGTTTGTCAGAAAAATGTAAAAGATTAAAACATTTAGTATCAGTCTCTAATCTCCATCAGCACTAATAAATACTTATGTCATTATCAAGCAGAAGGATTAAAAGAGTATTAGAATGATTGCTGTAGGCTTTGTTTCCTACAGTCGCTCACACAAACCCAGCAGTACATTGAGACATACCAGGGCTTTTATGCAGTATGTCACTCATATCCCAGCAGAGTCTAAAATTGGAAAATAGTGCCTTTTACGTGTGAGAAGCCCAAGTATCTGCTGAGATTCAACAAGGGCTCACTGTATGGGCGCATCTTTTGTAACTTACATCATCTTGCCTCCAGACATTAGCTTTGAGTTAATTGAATATTAATTACTCTAGCAGCAAGATATATAAAATATGCCTGAAGCAGCATACTTTACAAGACCACACAAAAACTGTTTTTTTTTTTCTGTGCCTAAGTTATGCGATGGGAGAACAACAACCAAAAAAAGCAGCTATATGTTAAAGGATGAAACAGAAGTGGGAAACAGCCTATGGCTCAACACTGGGGGGCTGAACAGACTCATTATCATGTCTAGAGCTTCTCAAGACACTTTGGTGCTTGTGAAGCAATACTGCGAAACATTCTGTATGAATGTTTTTAGGAATTATGAGATGTACTGCATCCCTTTGCGATCCCCATTGTCTACAGTCATATGATCAGTTATACAGACATGTATTTACCAGTGCTATTGACTTTTGTGGTGGTACGAGTAAAAATGTGCCCTGTGTGTCAGGGAGAACGTGTTCATATTTCATAATCCAATGCATGGATTAAGGCAACATTAAGACAAAACGAATAAAAACTTAATTCTGAATATCGATAACTTTTTATCTGACATAAGAGCTTTGTGCTTATTTCCAACAGTAAGTAAAACACGAGTGTATATAAATCTGGTCTTAATATGTACAGGTATATTTTTTTATCCAAAACACCTCTGCCTCTAGTGCTATTTGTTTTCAAGAGATGATAGTCCAGTGTTTTCCATGTCTGAAAGGGCAGTGTTCTGAGCAAAGAGGAAAGAGTACAGAACATTTTGAAAAAGAGGCAAATAAAAAAAGAGGCAAGGGCAGGCTTTTGACAGATGTGTTTTTCTTCTAAATGAATGAGCTGACATATCAGAGCCCCACTCCAACAGAGTCCAGTCTGTAGGCACCACAGATCACCAGGTTCAAGCCCAGACTGTAGTTGTTTCTGCTAAGTGCAGGTGATAACAGGTCAGTGAGTCAGACCCATATTTCACCCATATGAAAATATAACCTAGGGGAGCCTATAGAAATGTTCTATTTGTCTATGGAAACTTATGACTATAGAAACAGTTTTTTTGTGGTAAAAAGAAACAATTGCACTTTTTTCATACTTCATGACCTTGCAGTGCTTCAATGATAGACCATCCAATCCACCCTTTTGCAGAAAATGACGTTTCTTAATGACAGCAAAGGTATATTTTTTTTGTTCTGTTCTTCGTATGATTTGTTTTGTGCTTAAAAATACTGTTTTGTGAAGTGCCATACCGTAAAATGTTATTTTCTCCTGTCAAGGGCTTTGTGTTCGGGCTTGCTGTCTGCACATTTTATTGCTCTAAGCAGTTCTCTGTCGTGTACAATCCTGCGTTTTCCATGGCTGTGCTGTGTTTCGCTTCAGACTGGAATCGGGAGGTTTATTTATCTCACAGCTTCAAGCACTTCACCCAGCTTCGGTCTGAGAGGCCCTCTGGTAGATCGGTGCATCTGTGTTCAGCCAAAAAGTCTTTTCTCAGTGTCACAGCACTGGAGAGGAGCTCCTTCAAGGAAGGTCAAACATTTTACTATTCAATCAATGGGAAGCGACTTACAAATCATGTGTATTGATCATTGTAATCATTTAGTGGAATGTAGGGCAGGCACTAAAACCATATGCACTTAGTCTTAATAGCTCACATTAAAGCAATTATGCTCACAAACTATTACTGTCTAACAGTATGCATATTATGCTGCCTAATTCATCTTTTTAAGTTTTATCCCTGCAATTTTTTATCATAAATCAGATGTTTCATTTCTATTGGCTGTTTCTGGTGTAAGGCCTGTGGATTTGCTATATTTATATGCAAATCAAGCCATGCTTGGGCTGCAGGATCATGTGGTTTCATGGGTAAAAATAACGGGTGACATAATGCGCTTCTTATTTTATATGTATGTGTCAATACTTGTGATGTATTTACTAATGACAGTGCAACTGCTGAGGCGACCCTTCTAATGAACAAGCCGCATTTGTAAAAGCAGTCAACAGGTCAAGGACTTTTGGGGGGAAAGTTGTGCACCAGCTATCAGGCATATGTGTGTAGGCATAGTGTAATATTGTTGTACCACTTACTGAGAAATAGCACTCACTTTCTGTGTTTGGAAAATATGGGGAAAAAAATGAGAAGCTGTTTCATATTTATAGAAATAGCTTAATATTTATAGCATGAGTTCTCTTAATGTCAGAAAAAAGGACGCCTAAATAGAAATATTATTTTCTTAGGTTATTGTTATGAGTGTATTTCAACATTCTGTCAGTCAGTTTCAACTATTTATAATAATAAAAGCAATCAACTCGCGTGTTGAATTTTGTTCAGGATTTTGCCATCTCTATGGCTCCTTTGCTCTTCTGCACCAGTGTTCCTCACATAAAAATGTGAATTCAACAGAATTCTGTCATCCACCTAGCCCTGTGTCATGTTATCTCCTGTCTTCTTGCCCCACACAGGGATCTGCTGAGATTGAACATGAGGGCAGCGTCCCTACTGGTGGACAGTGTCCCCACTGTTTCGCCAAAGCGTCCTCTTGTTCTGCAATACAAATGACACTTAAGGTTAACCATTTCCAAGGTGATGTGGAGGGGGAGGTCGCCTGCACGCCCCCAAGCCTGCTGTAGAAAGGACAATACAAATTCTGACTATCTTAATACATTAAAAAGTCTGAGCATGCATTGATTCTGGGGCACAGCTCAAACTCTCCTGGCAAAGCCTGATTCCCCCTGGTTACAGTGTAACAAAAGTGGTCTGTAGAATCTTGAAACTCTTGCCAGGAGTTGATGAGTTAATTTCTCCTTACCCCTTTACTAGGAAAGGTTAAATGTCCTTCTGTGCTGAGGTTTAATGGCCCAGTTTAGAGGAAATGCAATCTGCAGTTAAGCTTTGAGAAGACAGCTGCAGAAAAACACACCAATTTATTTGCAATTTTGTATGGGAATTAAAATAGATTGCCTTGCAAACCACTCACTTAGCAAAATAATTTTTAACATTATTTTGCAGTCTGATGATTTAATCTTTTGTTTTATAAATGCATTCTTTTTTTGCACCATAAAGATAAAACACGTTCATGAAAAATTCATTCAAGTAAATCTGCATATTTTGATTTGCATGTGCTGCAATCTCCATTTGGAGGAGAAAAATGAAAGTAATATTAGCGGAGGGATTCTTGAATCTAAATAACGTGGATTTTCAGAGAAAGCACTTCATCTCGGTTTTATCACAGGGAACGGGTTATCAGAGTCCACATATCCCTTCAGATCATTTCACTTCGTGCATGTCAGAAAGACCAGCTGCAGAGCGGAACAATTATTAAATGAATCTTTTAAAAACATTAATTTGGTACATTTGGCCAAGAACAACAACAACAAAAATTTAATAACAACGACAATAATGATTTGGATGTAGTAGATATCAGTCAAGGATAAATACCTAAATATGACTAATTACAGAAATAAGACTGAAATCACCCAGAGGAGTCCAACTGCCTCTATTGACAAAATCCTTTGAATTGTACAATACATAATGTGAAAGATTACAAAAAAGCTATACATTCAATAAGTGTATACTATTGTCTATTAAGTTTCCTTTTTATAACTGTTGCTGTAAAAACTGCATCTTTTTCTAGAAGTATTATGCACCTGTATTTTTTTTTAATATTTGAAATTGCTGCATGTTTTCTTTTATTGTATTTTTTATTGGTTGTTTTTTACATGAAAGCTTTGAACCCAATAACATTTAAAAAGTAATTAAAAAAAATATATAGATGCACTAACCTTCTAGTTGAACGCAGTACAATGGTGAATATTTTGTAACCATGCAAGTGATGCAGAACAAGTAATGACTTAATTAAGCATAATTAAAGAAACAACAGAATGCATTCATCTGTAACCATCTATACAGTGACTTGCATTAATGTACAGCTATAGGGCTGTTGGAACTGGATCCAGACTCCCGAAACATTCACACTCACTCATCTCTCACACCGACGTGACTTTTAGGTTTTCAATTACAAAAAAAAAAAAGGAAACTGTTTTCTTCAGCTTTCTCGGTTATGTTTTTACAAGTTGCTTTTGTTTTAAAAACAAATGTTTCTCATTATTATTATAATTTAGTACTTTGCCTGGTGACTGCTTCATTTCTCTCACTTCGATAGTCAAAAGCAGCTCCGAGACTGAAAACTGAGATGGCTTGTCCCCTCAGCAGGTTTTGCTCACATTTCTCATTTAACCTCTTATTAAACTGGCCTTTGTGCACCCACTGTGCTATCATTGCCTCACTTACATTCACATACTTACCAGGTCAGCCAGGTTAAAAGGGTGTGGGGGGTGAGGGGGTGGATCACACTGGAGTTGCTTTACACAGGCACATAACTACACGACATAACACCCCAAAAGAAGAAAGATATACTACAACTGTTTGATGAGCAGCAGGGCAATAAATTCATTAATCATCATTTTAAGCCTCATCAAACACTTTGCAAGCTCTTCCATGGGAGTTATACAAATTAGCCACTGAAAAGGCAGTAATTTTAGTTTAGCTAGGTAAGTGCTTTTTGATTGCCTTCTTGAACAATGCATCCCTTGACAAGCTAATAAATCAGGTCTTTCTAAACCGGGTGCACAGCAAGTGTGAACAATGAAGTCCACATAGTTTCAGCGCTGGTTTCAACCCAAACGGCCCACATGAATGGACCCAGATCAAAGCCTGGTCCGTTTATTGTGAAGTGGGGCTTTTTAAATCAAGAGCCACTCGTAGAAAAGAGTTTTTTTCCCCCTTTCCTTTTTTTATTAATTAACAAGGACACAATCGTGTGACAAAGGGGAACAACTGTATGAAACTGGAATTAGATCACATGATGCCCTTTGTGGCAAGGTCCTCCTGGGTACTGCTGTCTGGCTATCTGCAGGAGGAAGAAGCAGGACAGATATTTTAGCTCATGAGTGCTGGCATTCTGAAATATCTCCTGGCTGAAGCAGGAGGGCAGGTAAAAAGTGGGTGCATATATCCAGATGGTGCTATTGTCAGTGGCTGACAAATTACTTGTAAAACTGGAAATGGAGACTACATTTAATCTGAGGCCAATTGATTGTTCAACTGTTTCAGGTATTAACAGTGTAGGTTTTGATTTGTCCAGTGGTTTATAGCAAAGCAGTGGTTGGGGGATGGGAGGGGGGGAGTGAGCTGTCTTTATCTCTTTAAAACGCTGCTGTGATGGGATTATCTATTCCGTTTGGCTGTAAATCATCTCACTAATCAGAAAGCTTCAGCCAACAAGTACACATTGGCACACAGCCAGGGGCTTGGGTTTTGGAAGGCCTTCAGCAACAAAAGCATGTTTGTATCAATAACCGTCTGTTAATATCTCATGCATATGGATGTCCAACACAAAAATGCACAAGTAAAGACAATCATAAAATGAAGTTTTTTTTCTCCCACTCCTTGCTTCCCTTCCACTGAATGTCTTGATAAACCTAATGCAGGAAACAAATTAAAGAAATGTTCGCTAGACCGCCACTGTGGTGTAGACACAAAAATGAAGTCCTGACCAGTGAGTCGGTCCCTAGCTGTGCTCCTGTTGACAGATTGAAACCTGTTTCCTCTGAATGTCCTTACAAACCGCCGCATTTCAAAACAAACCAGAATTAATAGCTTCTAATAACTGTGGCGTGGTTAGAACTCACCTCTGCTCCTGCTTTCCCTGCCAGTTTCCTTTCCTTCTTTCTATCACTCTCCTCCTGTCCTTCCTTCTCTCTGAACAAGCCCAGACCCAAAGTCTTTTTTTTAACTACAGCATGTCTCCTCTCTTCTTCATTAACTTTCCCTCTACACATCATTGCACGCCTCTGAAAATAACTTGGCAAACTGGGAAGCATTTATCTCTTTTATCTTGGGAGCTGATCCAATTAAATAAGTGCACATTTACATCTGCATCCATCAGGAACGAGCACAGAGAATCTGTGGTTAGCTATAAGCAAATAAAAAGCCAATCTCCTTGCAAAGAGGTGTCTGAACAAAATATGATAGATTAAATTGCAATAATAGTAACTTTTTATCTCTGATCTGAACACCCTGCAGAGCGGTTGTGGGGCAAAGCATTTAAGTAATAATCTGAAACAGGTGTTGAAAACACAGACAGTGGGATTTACAAGACGTCACAGAAAAATAAACAAAGTTAACTCATTAGCTTTTTCCTGGGCTTTCAGAAAAGCAAAAACGTTAATCAATCTAGATCAAAACAATCTAATGGCATGATGATAAAGACTTCTGTTAAGCAGTTTTGTGTGCATCTGGTTTAAAAGAGGTTCTTTCTGCTTTGCAAACTATAAGGCTTACTGTTTCAAATCACCCTCAAAGTTTAATTAACTGTATATGCTGTATATTAAAACAAAAGTATATCCCCAGCCTACTTCCCCAACTATGGCAATATTATTATTATTAAAACATCTTCAAAGAGCAGGGAGAAAACAACAGATCTTGAGTTTTGTTGATCTTATTTAAAATGCAATAAAATATGTTCAAAAGTTACGATGCAATTTACACAAGAAACAAAAACAAGTAGATACAAAAGCAAAATGGTGCAACAATCGGTAACACGTTGTATGTAGACGATGGCTCTGATATCTCCCACAGCAGCCTGGAAGGAGACTGTATTAAACATTTATACTGAGCTAAAACGTGCATTTACATATCATTATCAACAGCGAGGAATGCTTATTGCATGAGGCAGAGGGAGGAGTGAAATAACCCTATGGCCATTTTCCACTGGAGCCTGGAATTGCTTTACAGCCTCTGGTAACAGGAGAAGTGAGTTGGGTGGACTTGTTTTTGCACATTGGTCACTGTCTTCCAGAGTTTCACACAGTCCAGAAGCCCTGCAGGTGGAGAGGGAAGGGCTTCACTGGTGGTACTTGCTGACCCACTGTCCTTGACCTCCAGTTCCTAAAGAAACCTCACACACTCTAAGCAGAAGATTACCAAAGAAACGAATGGCTCTGAGACTTTTTTTTACCTTGAAATGATGTATGCATCTAGTCTGTGTGTGTGAGAGAGAGACAAAAGAACAGCAAGTAAAGATTTAAAATCTTTTTTTTAAGCACATTCCGGTAAAATCCAGAAAAACATGACAACACTACTGAACAGTCCTGAATAGTGGAAACTACCATGCAGAAGTGTAATGACATATGTAAGTGAAAAGTAAAGTTAGTCCTTTCAGAAGCCAATATTACATCTGTACTGTAAAACCAGAAATGGTATGCACAAATGAACTGGATTGAATTATTAGAAAAAGACCTAGATTAAATTAACCAATTAACTTAATAAATTGATTTAAAATGCTGTGAGGGTTGGGGAAGGGTGGAACAAACTGGCTGAGATTAGCTTCCTCATTGATAGTCTCTGGTTTGTGACCTTTCAGTTTCTTCGCAAAGATAATATACAGCACTTCCTTTAAATGTGGGGATTTTAAATTAAAGCTGTAGTCTGTCATATATAAATACGCAAGACGGAGGTGTATCCAGTATTTAATTTATTCTCAGTTTTATAATTTTACGTGCAGTTATTACTTATTTTAATGCAGACACGTTTCGCAACAACGCGAGGTTCATTTCTGCAAGAATTTGTGCTACTAACGAAGTCGGTTTTATTTCGATTTATTTATACAACGGTTGTCAAATAACTTGTTTACAAATAATTTAACATTGCACCCAGATGGGATTTCAGTAGACTGTTTAATAATTTTACATTTTGCCTGTTGCAATATTGCCAATTGCGTACATTTACTAGTCTGATTATCGCCTTCTTATTTACAACCGACGGTTTTCTTAGCGGACGTTTACTGAATTTCAGATATTTTATGTTTTTAATAAATTACGCTATAAGACACAAATATGCGAAAATACCAAATGAAGCATCGATGCCACCAGTCTCCTTAATTCTAATAGTAAACATTACACGAAAATGCAACTAAAATGTGTCGCTTCTCTCAGTGGTTGCTATTACGCTTAGAGCCCTCTTCAGGGTTTTACTAGACTTAATTTGGCCTGTATTTCTCACATTTTACAAAATCGACAATTAGTTCCTTACAGTTGACGTTTCCCGCTCTTCAAGAATCTCAGTGTTACCCCAGGGTGGTGTTTCTCGGATAACCAATGCGATGTAAAAACCGAATCGCACGTAAGGTGTCACAGCGCCATTCACCGCGCAAAGCTTATCATTTGTTCGCGGTTCTTAAATCTTCTTATTAACTTAAGTATCGGGCTTTCATTTAAAACATCAAACAGCTGCAAATATCACATGTAATCTGTCCCCGGAGAACTGATAGAGTTGGAAAGAAACAACTGGATGTGCTTGTTAAACCTCTCTTCTGGGCCGGTCTTGCCTCGTTACTGTCCTTCCCCGCTATTCTGCTGGGGGTTGGGAAAGGGGGTTAAATATTTGGAGATCATCATCTGTCACTTTATCTAGGTCAGTTTACAGCGCGATCATAAATATTTGAAAAGGGGCTTTGCGACATCGGCGCTGAAAACAAGTCGCAAACGTGCAAGAACTCCGCACCGCGGAACTGAGGACCGAGCAGCGCGGCGCTCCAGACCTGCGTCTCCTCACGCGAGTCGACTTTTAAGGCAGAAAACGGGCGATTTGTGAAGGTTTCTGCTTCAGCTGCGAGCCGCTAAACCACACAGACTTCCCCCTGCCTGCCTGCCGAAGCCAGAACAGGCGGGGAGAGAAACAGCTGGGCTGAATTTTTAGCACCCATAATTAATTAACAGCCTCATTCCTGGGATTTGATGATTAAATAAAGCAGAGGCCGTTCTCCCAATGTGAATTCAGTGAAAGTCTACCCCACTTCAGTTCTTTCGGTCATATGATGGGTGTGCGAGTGGGGGGGAGGCTCGGGTGGGTAGAAGATTAGAGACTACTGCGAGAGGGAAAATAGCACGATATTGCGTTTGAGACGCACACAAAAGGAACATTCTCAACTGCCACTACTTGGTCAGTAAGGGCTCGTCTTTCTTCCCATTCATAGCACTGTGCCAGTTTTTTTTTTTTGAGGAATCAGTGGGAGCTTAAGGAACTAACATATTGTTCACTTGAAAAAACAGCCGGTTGTGTTTCTGGCAACACTTGCACTGGTACAACTCGCAGATGTCCTCGGTAATAGTCTAAGCAGGTCAAAAGAAAGGGAGTATCCTTTTACACGTTGGGGCCTGAATGCGATTCTGCTCGGCCGGGGCCTGATCGGCCGCGTACGGCCATGCACTGCCCAGATCCGTCGTCTTGGTTTGTGCGTGTAAACGTAAGACTTGAGGGACCTCCGTTGACGCGTCTGCATTTTAACAATAATTGACAATCTAGCACTGTGTTTGTCAACAGGTTTGTCAACGACATTGGAAGGACCAAGTGTTCGCTACCGGTTAATGGAACCTTCGTATAAGGTGTCTCGCTCTCCCCCATCAGCCTGTACTGCAGGTAAAAGTAGAATTTCGCATGTGGAACACTGGGTTAGAATTCGGGACTTTTCAGACAAACATTCTACTTTAATTTCCTTTTAAACCACTGTTTCTCCTTCCTAAGTAAATTAAGACTTTAAGGTCTTTTCTCACCCCCTTTTCCGCGAACCCAGGCGCAGCTAATGTGGCTTGACGGTAATTGTTATGCAAATTAAATAAACGTGACTACACAATTAATATTTAAGAAACGCGAGGAGAAACGCGGTGACTGTTTACTATACAGTGCGAGGTGTCGTCTGCAAATGACGTGACTCTGGAGCTAATCGGGATCACCTGTGCTATAATTTACCCTGTTGATACGAAATAGTATTTTTAATTTCACATAATTCGCGATTTTTACAACGGGGTAACAGCAGCTGTTCAGAAAGATGCAGAGACACGTTTAACACAAGCTTATATAATTACACACATAAGCCACAGCCTCGCAAATAAATCACCTCAATGAAAAATGAAGCCAGGAGGAATTAGCGAAAGACGCCAAGGATAGGTGTGATCGGCGCTGGAGCAAAATTGGAAAACTACTTCCCAAACAGAAGTGTGGAAAACTATAACTTGTGCATCCCCGTTCCTTTACAGCACGGAACTGCAGATTTCGCCGGCTGTCCTCCAGAAGTATCCCGCGGGCTCACTGCATTGCTGTTATTCGTTCTAAGAAAAGTATTAATGCTATGCTGACAATCCAAAAGCACTAATATCGACCAATATTCACCTACACAGCACTTACGAGCTATTGAACAACATTGAACAACAGCTATTGAACATTTAACTACACTTAAAAAAGTTTATTTGATACCTTTGGGCACAACACTATCATCTAGACCGTTGCTTTGGTTGTGTCAGTGCCTTCGAAAGTGTGAACGAATTCGCAGTTTTAAAAGTCCCACGTCACGATTAAATTGTCTGTGGTTCTACAACTATTTTAAAACTTTTACAGCCAGCAAAGAGAACAATTCGCTACAGCATTATATACCGCAAATGTGTTGCAAAGAGGAAAAAGAGACATTCGGCGAATAAAAGGCGTCAGTTATTTTACACAGAGCAGAGTTCTGCTTTCTTTTTGTAAAAAAAAAAAAGAATCAACGAATTTGGCAGGATTCGCACCGTAAGACGTCCTGCTCGCTGCAGAGAACGAACACGTAACTAAAATGTAGAGTTTACTTTCATACCTCCGTACCAAAAAAAAAAAACCTATTCGTTGCCTTTTTCTTGATTGAGAGAAACAAATCTCGATGTATGCATTTGAAAAGAAAGAATAAAAATAAATGAACTAAAAGGCAAAAACCAAATGCCTGCAGATCATACCAGTAATTCTCTTTTTTGATCGGTTAACAGTGGAAACACTACTTTATCAAGTAGACGTTGGAAAGTGATCATACGCCGGAAGCTCTGTCTTCAATCGCATCATGACCTAAACGCGTCTCAGGCAAGAGCCACTGTGCCTGTACAGGCGGTGGGGGGAAACTTGCACTGTGTCCCACACTTGCAGGCCCTGCAGTGCACCTTTCCGAACTTCAGCTGCCCCCTCGAACATTCACCGGCTTGTGGAGGATACGGGCGCTGCGCTACGCGTTCAGCTGCTGCACTTGCGAAGCGCGGTCCACCGGCGCTTTCCTTCATCCCAGCGCCTTGGAAAGCTGGTCCCCGTGTTTCTCTTTGATGGGAGCTTCGCCAGCTCCAGGCGGGCAGGTTCTGTTGCCCAATTTGTTTTCCCCCAGTTTTGCCCAGTTTTCCGTCCAGTTTGATATGTGTAACGAGCACACGTCTTCCAGTGAAAAAATAGTCTCTCACACCTTATATTATATTATATATTTTTGAAACATTTTTCAAAAGTTTACTTTTGTACATCTACACCGGAATTTAGAACTTTTTGCCAGCTGTCAATCATTTTCACGTTTCAAGTGTCTTTTTTTAATAGTATTTTACTCAATGTCGCCACTGCAATAACGAAAAAGATAATTTAATTCACGGTTTTATCTTATATTTTAATAAAGAACTTCGCAATTTCTTTGGGAAAAAAAATACCGAGCGTTTTAAACATCTCACAAACTAGGATACTCGTTTGTCGTAATTAACACCGAGCTGGTTTAGCAGTTATGATGCGCCGTTCAGTTTGTTATATAAGGAGTTCACTTGCACGAAAAGGCTGTAGAGAAACAATACAGGTGTAAAACGACGTTGTTGTTGTTGTTGTTGTTGTTGTTGTTGTTGTTGTTGTTGTTTGTATCACCAATCAAACGTTTCAAGTGTGCGACATCAATTGGAATTGAAAACCGCCGGGCGATTTTAAACGGAATGAAGGCATCGTCCCTACCTTGACTGAAGCATCAAGTTGTCTTTAAAAGAAGTCGGACTTAAACTGGGGGGCTGTAAGAATTCTGCTCCAGTCTATCATAAATTGAAGAGCGCCACAGTTAAAATGCAAACGAGGCATTAATTACAAAAGGGTTTACTGGGTTAGTTTGGTGAACAGAGCGCTCGACGAGAATTAAAAGAAAAAGAACGATGAAAAACAGGCTCACTGAAGCAAAAGTTTCCGACATCACCAAAACACAAAAAACTGTGAATTAGAAATCATTTGTTGTCAAGTATCATTAGTATGATTATTAATAATAAGAACAACACGTATCATTGTTTGACATCAGTTTAAAATTATTGGTAATCAAAAATAAGGAAACCGTTTTATTTCGGAAATATGTCTGCACGCCATGATACAGCGTTGTGGTGTAACAAAAACTATCTCAATTACTTTCATCCCTTTAGCTTTGTCCTTTTTTTTCCCACACGTGGGAACTGTTTCGCTCTCACATTGTGTGTCCATGCGCAGCTTCCCGACAATGGCCTTGCTAGCCAGCTCATTCAACTGGAAAGGAGGCAGGAAAAAAAAAAACTTGGGCAAAGTTTCATCGGATCCCTGCATATTTCCCCCACTACTCCGGTATTCATTATTCACCAAGAAGAGAGCCGAGAGTGTCTCCGGTACCGTGGAAGCTGGCAAGACAATGTTTTGGTGGAGACTGCACTGAATTCTAAACACGCTTCATTAAGATGGCTTCTTAAGTGGTTAATTAGCATTGAGTCCCTTACTTGCCCCTAAAAAACAAAGATTAAAACTGTTTCTTTTGCTCGGTCAGATCGCACAAATACTGCAAAAAAAAACACAGCAGAGGTCCACAAGCAGAGTTATGTACGAAGTCGCTGAAAATAATTCAGGCTTGCTCTGCTCGTATGAAACTAACGTGTAGCCGGCTCTTAAACTGCCATCTAAAATAATAATAAAGCAGTCGGGTGAGACACAGAAATTCTGAGCAGGAAACTGTAGAATTGCCTGTGATGTTTTTATCGTGACATTGGGGCAGCGCGTTTTTGGTGCTGCCTGGCATTCCGGAGTTAACACGGCGTCTGTACAGTATATTATTCAATCAAGGTGTGGCAGACAGATTCGAAACTTAACATCATCTTCAAACACGAAAACGCTTTAGAACAACACATCCAGTTCTTGGCTTATTTTAACCTAACCGATCGTTTAAAATGCTAGTAGAATCAGCAATATGTGTGCACCTCAAGAAAACAAAAAAACTCAGACGTGCAGACTTAAATAGATTGCCATCAAGGAAGAAGACATGTAATTGTGTTCTGCTCCCGTGAAACAAATGCAGGATGTTAAATGACCAATTTCAGTTGAATCATGTTCTAACCATGACATAATTTGAATGGACTATAGTGACGTTGGTGCCTTTTCGAAAATGCTGAGTCCTAACTTTTTGTGCATTCAGATTAGAAGTGTATATTTAGCTTGTGTAATGTGAAAGTAGTGATACATCTGAACTAAAAGTAAATCGCCAAATAAACGGCGAGGCTCCGAGTTCGGCAGTATTTTGTGACAGTTTGACAAGTCTCCAATGCACAAACGAAAACCGCAACGATTTCGTGGAAAAATAAGACGTCTGGACAATGATGGGTTATAACACATACCCCGTCACTAAGATGAAAGGAAACGTGCCGGCCTCCATCCTCGTTGTGTGTAAAAGTCTAATAGACGATTATACTCTGCAGAGAGATTGGTCCGTCTGCCCCAGCGCCAGTTAGTGTAATAAATAACTACAGTGACACAATTAAAGTATAGCAAAGGTCTGAACGTTATACCCCAGTAAATAAAGAAATGTGTGTATAACAGTGCTCAGGGAGGGAAAAAAAAGCGTGTGATTAAATGACAGTTTATTTCACGCAAAACGACCATTTTCTTCGTCTCTTCAATTCCTGGAGGGCCGAGGAAAGAAGAAACATAATTATGCTATTTAGCTTGTTGATGCGCAGCAATCACAGCTCCAGCATATTCTAGCAGATTAAAAATAGAAACCTCACATCTTTGTGACTGAAAATAGAGGACATTAGAGCGGAGAATTATATAAAGCCCCTGGGAGGTTTCTGTCGGAGTGCAGAGAGTAAACTATGGAGATTGATGATAGAACCTTTTATGGGGAGAAATTCCCCTTCAGACACGCGGTAATCAAGACACTGACTGGGCCACTGAGTCAACTTATCTCCCAGAGTGACTTTATTTTCTACACTTGCTCTTGAGCTCTGTTGTTCCTGTTTTTGCGGTCATCATTATTATACAACTATTTTAAAAATTATAGAGCATATAAATGTAATGATAGTACATTAGTGCTTCCTCCTGCGCACACTTTGTAATCAGATTTATATACACGCTTTGCTTCCATAAGGTATTCTATACAATATAATTCTATATAAGGTATTTTGCGTTACTGTTACAATGCAATTCTGTATAATAATGATGATAAAAGCACAATAATATTGTCCATTACTTTATAAATGAATTTAACGATTTTACCTCGACACTTTCTGATTGTTTAATATAACTGCATTTAAGAACTGTACATTTATCGTTTAAGGGCGTTATAATTATAGGTTTATTATAGGAATTCATAATATAGCGTAATATTTTAATTTTACGTATATTAAGGATGCATTATAATTTTAATTTTTAAATTGTCATTCCAGCGTATCAGTTTAAAATGCAAACCATTTACATTACAAGTTACTTTTACAGTATGTTAAATGTATCGAGAACCTAACAGCTTTTATCGGTGTTGTTTATGAGTTTTAATTACCGTGTTGGGTCAAAAATATTAAATTGAAACTGAATTACATTCCGTATCCAGTCGTGATTGATACACTTTTAATTTTAATTACGACATTACAATCTAAAGGCGTCTAACCCATTCTCATCATGTGCAAAATTCCACCTACACACATTATTGCGCGTTATGAGTCCGCAAAGGAGCTTCCTTAAAGACAACACGGATGAAAATCATCAATGCTTGCATGGTCAAAGAGAATAAAAAAACAAGAATGATATTGCTATACATTTAAGGGATCGTGGTGGCTTCGTAAATTATTGTTTTTTTCATGTAGATGTCTTAAACTGGGACGAGGCCCTAAGGCCTAGAGGTGTCTTTCGGCTCGGCATGACTGTGGGTCAATTTGTGTTTGTATAGGCCACTCAAACAAGAATCGTTTTCCACGTCGGATTAACAATACAGCCCTGAAATTAAGAGCAAGTCTGACACCTACCTGCCAAAGTTGGAAAAGTTGGAGTACAGCGGTGGAGATCTGGCTGTAAATCTTAAACCCTATGGCATCAATACACTGGCCCAAACCTCAAAGTCTTAACTCTGCCATTAACCGGATGAAACGCATGTTAAGGAGGTTTAAAATTCAATAAAACTAATCACAACGCTCACAGCAATAACGAACTAATAATAATAATAATAATAATAATAATAATAATAATAGGTATTGCGTTGTGCATCTCCGTGTGTCTGTGCTGTGAAGTGCTACGTCTCACTGTTTTAATGCCTTTACCGCGCTTTGGAAATAGTAATGAGGGCTAAATTTGGCATAAAATCGAACTCATTAGCAAAGTTCGCCACCTGATTGCTTTGCATAAAACACGACACGGATTGGGTGTAATTAGGTTAAATGATTACTCTGCAGTTTTGCTGCTATTATTATATCAATTTTCACCTGCCGAAATATTTTCCAAACTCCTCCACCTTTCTTTACGTGTAACCTCTCTTACTTTCCCTGTAACAATTATCTTAAACCGTCTCACTCCTGACGAGTTTAATTGTATTGTGCCTTGTAATATTTCGGTAAAGACTACATTATTTATTATGTACACTTAAAAAAGACCTCTTATTATTTCAAATCGGAAGGTTCCACATTTATATATTCAGATTATATATTCCTAGTAAGTGTATAAAATTTACTCTTTTTAAATATATATTTTCAAAAGGTATAAATATATAAACAGATTTTAAAGGAGTGATTTAGCTATTTATCTAACAAAATAGATAGTGAGATAGGTTTTCTTAAACGTCTCTTTAATTTTTTACATTTTACAAAGGCGACGGTAAACTGTCCGATAAATATAATTCTTTCTCTTTTTTTTAAGAAAGAAATATGAGAAAATCAGTACACACTTATGGGAATCAAGGATCAAAAAATAGATAAATTATTCTTATTTTTATAACTATGAAGAATTTTGGACACAAATACTGATTATATTTATATCCCCAAAAACAACATTAATGGCTGTACAAGTTTTTTTTTTTTTCATAATTTACTTCAAAGATAGTGTATTGTCCATTTTAAATACAAAAATGCTACATTAAATATACATATTAGTTTTAATACAAATAGTCTCAGGCGTCTGCAGCGATTAAGACAATTCTTGGATGTTACATCTTTTGGATTAACCATATATCCAGAAACTAAAATTTCCTCACTGAAATATTTTTCTTTCCGTTTTCTCTCTCGACGTATTTCAGATCATTGTTATTTTTTTGCCAACAACGATAATAAATAATTGTCCAAGTATTCGGAGAAGAAGCCGATATTAAATGTTTGACATACCTTTCTTTAGTTCATAAGGGGAGTCTTTACAAAGATCTACTTGTGTGTGGACTCTTACTTTGCTCTCTTTAACCAAAGCCTCTGCTCTATTTAAAACAGTCTGATTTAATCCATTGAAGTGTGCCGTGGACCCAGTGGTGGAGCCGTGGTTGCTGTGGAGATGCCCAAAAGTACCATAGTTCGTGTAACCTGCATAGAAGGGAGACGCGTAGTAGATGGGCCGAGACAATACTGTGCTGTTCGGAAAAGTGCACTGAGACGGAGACCGAGACGGAGAAGTCGGGGTGCCCGCGATCACTGAGCTCTGAGCCGGTCCTGCTGGCTGTGGGACGTCGGTACTTCCCTTAGACCTGTCCGAAGAAGTGGCAATCTCGGCGAGGGACCAGAGTTTGGGTTTGGGCGCCACGGGGGGCGAGTGGATCACAGACGTGACGACGCTGTTGCTGTGGACAGAGTTCCCCGTGCTGGAAGCGTGCACCATTTCAGCCGGCTTGTCGTGGGCAATAATCTCGGTTCCTCGAGGCACGGCGGAAGGGGTAGAGGTGGTGGGTCTGGGCGACTCGGGGAGGATTTCTGTCCTGTCTTCATGATCTTTTAATTCCGAGTCAGTCAAAATGGGATCTATTTCTTTTCCAGGACCCTCGTCTTTAAATCTGTCGCAAGTAATTTCCCCGGGGTTAGGTTTGTGTTCACCTGTAGAGAAATACAAACAGCCGGTTATTGCGGGCTTACTATCTTTTAAAGGCAGTTCACACACACGTGTTTCAGACTTAATGATTGTCATCACGACCCTACCTGTTTATTCTTTAAACACGCAACATTTCAAGCTACAAAAATATCAGTAATATGTTGGTAGCATTATTGACAAGATTCGTTTTTAAATTCCAATTAAGACTGGGACGGAGTTAAAGAGATATGTGTGGTAGAGTTATGTGTTTTTGCCTGTTTTGCGGCGTTTCTTCGCTTTAGGATAAATTAATTACTTTTAAAAGATATAGATTGACAGTAGTTCTCAACCCACAACCGGGCAAATGAAGCGAGGACAAGCTGATTATTATTTAAAAGCAATTGTTGCATTATAAATAATATACTTCCATTAACCAGCAATCAATTTTGTTCCCTGAGTGGAAACGACTGAAATGAAAAATTCATTAATTTTCTACCGACCTGATTCGGTGTCTGTCGAGTCTCCCTTCTCCGTGGGTTTGTGCGGCTCCTCGTCATCATTTTTCTCAAGATCGATATTCTCTTCTTCTTCCTCGTCCTCGCTCCGGTTCCGTGGGGTCCAGGTCATCTTGTTCTCCTTCTTTAGCCGTCTCCTGGCGTTGGCGAACCAGGTGGACACTTGCGTGAGGGTCATTTTGGTGATGATGGCCAGCATGATTTTCTCCCCCTTGGTGGGGTACGGGTTTTTCCTGTGCTCGTTGAGCCAGGCCTTCAGTGTGGCTGTAGCATCCCTGGTGGCATTTTTCCGATATGCTGGGTCTCCATAAGGGTATGAACCTAGCGGAGCCGCGTACGGGTGGTACCCTATAGAGCCGGCCATCCCTGGGGTGTGATCATACGGAGATCCCTGAAAGAAACCGCATAGATTATAGGACATTAAATACCCACCACACTTGTGGCACCGATGGACAATGTGAATAAGCCTTCCAAAATGAAGGGGATTAAATAAGCAGTATCATATATGTAGGCCTTGTTTGTTTGTACATATATACTACATATATTAATGTACGAATTCAGGCGAATCGCTAGTGTAATGTGGTAGTATAATGTTTCAATTTTTTTCAACATTTATTTTACCTACCCCCCCCCCACGCACCCCCTCCCCAAGTCGGTATTTAACACGCGGAGCGGAAACTTAATACACCGTTACAATGTTGAATTAACATTTCGGGTATGTTCGGATTTGCAAAATATCCCGCAGCGCACTAAAATGTTACTGCCATCCATTCAAGCCAATTACGCGCCCTTAAAAAAGAAGGAGACGGAAGGCAGAAAAATAAAGAGATAAAGGTAATAAATGGTGCCAATGCTTTCGGGACGCATCAGGGAGAACACATAAAATCGTTCAGAACTCCTTTATTTCCTAATATGTTTTAATGATTTCACACAAAGCGGCCGACAATTTGGGCATTCAAGCCAGCCGCCGGTCGTGATCATTTATTTAATCTAAAAGACGACGGAATAAATTACGTCGAAGACAAAAAAAAACCACACACAAAAAAAACAAACAAAAACAAAAACAATCAAGGGAAGACAGAAAAAAGTTGTTGCAAGAGAAAGAAAAGCAGAATAAAAATAAGAACCAGGTTACTCCCAAGCGCGGTGGACTGGGACGGGAAAATCAAAACAACTCACTGGAACGTTTTGCGTTCGCAAGCGCATAAATAAAGCCATTGTAATAATAATAATGTTTAGGTCGTTCTGACACAATATTGTTATCTTTCCCCACGAAAATCAACCAACAGGCAATTCACGCACAGCCAGATTTTGGGAACTAACACATTTTCCGTTCTTGCGCATTTGTTTTTACAACTAATCATAGGAATAGCCTAATAATTTTTTTTAGAACTGATTACACATCCACATACATAAGTATACATATGGCCTGCTTAAACATAGTCAGATTGTGCCTATAGAGTTATCTTTCCTCGGGGCAGGAGGTTTGATGCGAAACAGAAAGAACAACACTGAACAGAAAGTGTCCTTAAGAAATACCCTGGAGTTGTAGCTCTTCAGCACCGCGACACCCGGCTAACAGATCGAGCTATCGATTTCAAAGTTTTCGCAAAGGCCAGCTGTATCGACTCCTAAGCCTGCATGCGCGGCGCTGTATTGAACACAAGCGCACTCACCACGTACGAAGTGAATGTAGCCGCCGCCGCTGGGTCCGCACTGTACTGCAGATGAGAGTTGTAGCCCGGCGAGGGGCTGGTAAACGCTGTAGATCCTGCATACGGAGCAAAAGCGGAGCCCGAAGAAGATCTCCCAAGTTCTTCAGTCCTGGGTCCCGAAATCACACTTGTGCTGTACGCCGGGCACGAATACAGTGCCAAAGAGGCGGACGGCTGATACAAGTAGCCTTGTGGATACGCCATGGCTAACCACCAGAAAACAAGCCACTTATTTGCGTACTTTTTTCTTTGACTCAATCACGCTCTTTCTGATCAGAAATCATAGAGACTCGCGGCGGCAGACCCCCTGTTCGGTACGTGCTTATTGTATTTTCTTTCAAATTGATTTGGGGGGTATCTGTCAGCAGAAGCAGATCTGCGACTTAGGTGTTTACTTGCTCGCGGCTTGTTTTTTTTTTTGCGCTGTCTTTCTCCGTCCTCTCTCTCTCTCTTTCTTTCTATCATGCAGAAGAAGTTTTTTTGCCTTCAGTTTGGGGGGCTTTGCTTAGGAAAAATGTCCTGCCAAGATGCTAAGTTGGAAATTGAGGATTCTGACGCCTACTGCGCGTGTATCGCTCCTCCTCTCTGGGTGTTGTCAGTGAAGGAGCAGGCGAAGCTCCTGCCCTGCCTGATGAACGCGCTTCTCTCTCTCTCTCTCCCCAGCCTGTCACTCTGTGTGCCCCGCTGATCTTCCCCTCTTTCTCCACTAACAAGGCTCATTGCTGCTAGACTCAAGTGCGCCAGCTCCTGGTGGCAATCTCCTGCACGCAGTCCAACAGATCAACTTCAACTTTCTTCATTTGCTAAATACTCTAAGCCGTCACTTGTAGACTCGATTTTTTTTTAGCGAGGGAGGTGGTGTCTGCCGCCGAGAGCTCGCCAATGTATCTGAGGAAAGGGGGGAGAAAAGCACTTCATATTCGGTTTTTTTTCCCCCAGATTTTTTCTTCCCCCTTTCTTCCCCGTCTTAGTCATAAATTATTTTAATTTTGTCACCTTTTGAACCCTGCGCATTAATCTCGACGGAGCTGTGTGATCGCGGACTGCCGTGTGCAGGTCTGTTATCAAGGAAGACTCGAAGAGAAGGGGAATGCGGAGTCCGAACTTGCTTCAAAATTGTTTACACCGCCTCCGTTCCGACTCCGTTATTTGATCTCAAACGTTTCATTAGTCGTGTCATGGAAATAGGCGATTCCGACGGATTGATGTCGCTGTTCGATTCTGTTCGCGTGGGGCTGAATTTCCGCCTTTGCACAAAGTGTTAATTAGCCTCGCTAGTCCGAGACGTAACACTTCTAAAGAAATACATAAAGCGATGTCGCTGTCTTTCGACCTGATTGATGGGCGAAACAAACTCTTTTTTTATTAACGTGCTTGACGATCTAAGTGTCATTAGCTCTGAAAAAAAGATGATAAACAGCTAATGAGAATATAACAATTAACAGGTGCTGGGGTCTAGCTGCTTGTGGCGTGATCCAGGCGTGAACGACTCGAGCTTGCCTTCCTGAAAACTCATAAAATGGACGAAGCGAAAGCTGATTAATACCATATGAAGTACGGTAAATCCGCGGCGGTCAGAGGATGTAATCTCTTTTGATTCCAGCAGATATATTTCCCGACACCAACATATCCAGATTTATTTAATTCTCTTTCTGCTTTATCGGCTATATTCCTAATCTGGTGCTTATCTCCCTTTTGGTCAACTAGCTTTTGTGTGGAATCTATTATTATTATTATTATTATTATATATTTTAATTTTTTTAGAATTTTCATATTTTTTTTGAAAAACCTTGGTTGCAACCAGTAGGAATAAAGGATATATCTGTTAAGCAGTTCACATTCAGTGATACATTTGGTAGAAAAACCTTTAGAACAATTGAAATGTCCACTATTTTCAAGGCACATAATAAAACACCAAAGAGCTTATAATTATGAATGCAATTAAGCCGGTATTCCACAATTAACCGATTTTGAAGATGTTCTCTGTAGAGCACCATAATACGCGGTATAGTTGATATCTATCGCAGTTCTCCCCCGACAGCAGCTGTTGTGGAGCATCTCGGAGATCCCCTGTAAACCGAAAGGGATCGCTGTAGGCGCTGTTAACGAGCCCGACCGCTGCCTCTCTCCGCCGTCACGTGCTGCTGCGAGCTAAAACAGTCTGTGATTCCAGCGCGCGGTCCGCTGTTCAGCGCCGTGCAATTCCGGAGCAGGAATGACTTCACTGCGTTTGGACTGCAGTACCTAACAGTGACCAGGGTTCGCTTACCTGACCTTCTTTTGCTACTATTAATCATTAATAAGAAATTATATTTAAGCTCCACTGCAAACAGTAATCTAATATATGTATACCAGCCAATATGGTCTGAAAGCCTAAACATCTTTAAGTTTATTCGAATTTAATAATAATAATAATAATAATAATGGGGATTATGAGAATAATGATGACTGTGTTTGTAGAAAAAGATGAAAATGTAGGAGTAAATAAAATTTAAAAGCTTTAATGATCATGGAGTGCTGGTAGTATAATAAAACTACATCTCCCATGATTCTTGGCTCTGTAGTTATAGCTCATTGGTGAATTAAAAAAAGAATGGTATCGGTGCTCCAAGATGCAATTGGCTGACGTGTTCGTCAATCAAATAAAAAGAGCGTACCGGTTGTCAAGGATACCGGAAGACCAGATAGCCGGCTGTTTAGAAGGGTGACGTCATCATTCATTGATACACTGTTATCAGGCAATAATGACTTCCTCGACTCCAATTGAGCTTGATAAGGAGTTTATTATATCAGCAATAGAGGAGAGAGGAGGCGAAATTAAATACCTGGACCTAGTAAATATTTTTAAGAAGGTTTTATATCAAGCAGACCATCAGGAAAGAGGTAGGATACATGCTGAGTATCACTGTGTTGATACTCGGTAACTAATATGTTTGTAAATGTTTTGTTGTCTTGTCCACAATTTAAATTCAAACATAAAGTGAGTGCACTTTATTGTGTATTGTTTTGCTTAGCTCAGCTAAACGGTTCGTGCGCTTATCTCTCTGAGTTATAGGATTACCAGACATATATTGCAAACAAGCGGTAATGGAATTTGTAGTTTCGCGGGACAGGTGGCTTATTAAAGTTAGAGAAAACGTGACATACAATTAATATTGCCGTGCATGCCTGACTCGTGCGTTCTAAAAATTGTCGTCGTACAATTGATGAAATAATGCTTTTTCTTGCAGGCTAAAGAGAATTCTATTGCGACCCGAAAAAAAAACTCACTGTTTGCCGTCCTGTACCATATAATCTTTATATTATTTAATAATAATGTAAAAGGACAAGAGCTGACATAACCCTGTGCTTGACCACCAGTGCATAAATCACCATAGAAGCTCGCCGGGAACCACGCGCAGGCTGGTGCACTTAAAACTCAAAATGCCTTAGGGACTATGCGTAATCTAATTTGGATTTGCAGACTATTATTAGAAAGCATTGCCTATTGTAGCGAACTAATTACTGCACAAACACAGTGGTTGTTTAAGTTAAATTGTTACAGTACAACAACTGGCAGGTTTGCACAGTGTCCTAGAGTTTAAGTGTGTTTTCCCCCTTGCGATTTAAGTAGCGGGCTGGTAACGCACACAATGTTCAAGCGATTCATAAGGATTTTAGCAATTCCAAATCTGTGTCCTAAACCGATTAGTAGACGCCAAATTTACTTTGATGTATTAGCTTAGGGGTCTGCCACTCGGCAGCCAATTGAAATTCAAAAGAGTTTCGCTCGTTGTGCCAAGGGGATATCTGCGGCAAATAATGGATGTAATTTATTTTTGACCTTGCAATTTTTTATTAAATGATTAAAAATACACATGCATGTGGAAATGTAGAGCTCCTGTTATTTAATGCATCTTAAATATGGCTTCTGTACTTTCTGTATCCACGCTTAGCCTTTGTCCACCTGTATTGATTCGTATTTAAAAAATATAATTTAGGGGTAAATAAATCCAGAACATTGATTAATTGTAATAATGCGTATTCGCAAACGTTAAAAAGAAATATCTTAATATCCCTTTCGTAAATAAAATATGTACACAAAATATTGTAATTTCAGTAATCGTTTTAAACATTTTCATATATAAAATGTTATAAAATATAAAACTAGAAATGTCAGTTGTACCTTCAAATAAAATTGTTATTGTTAAAATATAATTTAAGCAATTTAAGATAATAAAAAAGCTTTTTGCCTATATCTGTTGATAATTAAAGACTGATAAATAACGCAATATAATTGTGCAATTGTGCAGTTTATATAAAGATGTGTATAGTATAGCTCTGTTAATACTATAAAATATTAGATAATGATTCACGTCTGTTTCTGTTAATGCAGAGCTTCAAAGGAAACGGTTTAAGGATCTACTCACTTGTGCTGCCCGACTGGTGGAAGTGGAGGTAAGGGAAAAAAAACTTACACATAGATGTGTAAGAGAATCTCACAAAAGAGGGATTAATTGGCACTTAATGTGATTGAAAATAAGTGTACGTGCAACAAAGTTACACTAGCGGAGCCGCAAGCGCCGTGTGGTTTATTTTCGCTTACGGGATTCCTAACCTTAGTCGGCGTTTGCGTGTGATAGTGTCACAATTTCCTCTTCTTTCTGGATTTTGGGTTCGTTTTGTAGTCTGTATTTCTGAATGCTCTACCGAATCTTAGTTGAGAAAAAGAAGGCAAAGAGAACAGAAAAAGGGAATATGTTCACGATTGTGCGCTAAATGCTAAACACGGCTAAGACGTCTTTACAGCAAAAAAAAAAAAATCAAGTACACTGTGTTTAACGGGGAGAAGCCAAATTATGGCTCCAAAAAACCTCCAAATTATGAGGATTATGTGCATTTCTTGTGTAATTTATTTATTTTTTATATTGAAGAACTAAAATCGGATTTTCGTGTCTCAGGTGTGCACCCCTTTGTGTATTTTGTCAGTGTAATTAAATAAGTAATTCCTGCAGGGATTGATCTTGTGGAGTCTCACAGATCTTAAAATTAGTCTGGCTGCAGGAAATAACCCTGTGCTTTTTTAGGCACAATCCTAGTGCGCTACATCTCAGGTGTTTGGGGCTCAAAACACCTGTGAAAATGGTAGCGTTTCCACACAAGGTACTGCATTTTAAAATTTCATGCACACATATATAGATATATTTAGTGGGACACCGTCTAAGTTGAACACAGTTCTCCACTACACTAGGCGTTTGTGTAGAAAGTACAAAGTTGATATTTTAGAATAGGAAAGTGGTAGAATGAGATTTATCTGCCTAGTGTTTTGTTCATGTCCTGCTGCTTGTGGAGGATTTTTTTTTAATTGATCATCGTTTTGTTTCCAGCTCTGCATAGTAGCTATGGTATGTCATTATCCCAGAAGCATTATGAGCAATAACAAAAGTTAAATCTAACAATCAGAAACTTCATGTAGATGCATTCAATCACTGTAAAAGCACATTCTGAGCCAGGCCTGGCATTCCACAGGGGTATAGCAATGGCATGCCTAATAATTACTCTGGCATGTAAACTTAGCTTTCGAGAACAAAAGGCACAATCAGAGCATTCAGACTCGCCCTTATAGAGTGCACTGTGCTGCGTCTAAAATTTGAGTAAGTGCTTGTTACTGTGTTAGTGTATCATTAGTACTATGAGAAGCACAGATATTATGTCTTTTATTTAATTACTGTAATAGCTGCTCTGAGTCTGAGCTTTAAAATCCTATAGCCTTACATCCATAATAGTCTGTTCTCGCATAATCATTCTGTGTACAAGCAATGCATTAAAAAGTACTACAAAGAATGCCAACAGATTGGTTCCGTCACATCATTTTGCTGTCTTTGAATGTACTTAAAGGATTATGATTGATTATCCTGTCTCGCCAAAGAATGACTACACAGGTGTTCATCATTATATTAATTAACATCCCGAGAAAATGTCTTCTTAGCTGTGAAATATGAAGGCAGATGCATTAAATGATAATTGAACTTGACTTAAGTTTTGCATCCAATACACAGAATGCAATGCAGAGCAAACATTTAGAACTAACACTAAAGGCTTTTTAATGTATGGTTTAAGCCAAATTGAGGAATATTATACATTAAGGTTGATTTTGTTTTGGTAAATAATGTTTTTGGTAAGTTCCTTCCTCAACACTGGATTGCTGTAGTTCTGTTTTTCTTTTTGCCAAAGTGCATTGCAACTCAGATGGCATATCTGCTTCAACACCAGTGTAAGAATCATTGCCTCTTACTCATGTCATGATGCTTTAAATTCCCTTTTTATACATGTTCTGTACATTCTACTGATTTTTACTATGTCAAACACCCATTACCTAATAGCATTACAGAATATATGGGTCGTTTATTAAGTCATATCTTTTAGTAGAATAATATGTTGAAGTAAATTTGAAGAATGGGCTGGTCACTTGTCTTGGAGCGTTCCAAGAAAGTTGAAGTCCCTTACTGTGATTCATTGCAGTGCTACAGGGGACCAGGGAGGTAGAAAGGCTTTGTTGTGTTTTTTGCATTGCACGTATGTTGTGTTTTAGCACGTTAACCACAAAGTTTGGCAACAACCAGATGTGTAAAAGTGTGTATATCCGACTTATATGCTAAAAATAAAATGCACAATGATGGGATTTCCACCTTAGGTGTTCACATACCCAGATCAATCCATTAATTCCTTTTGGATGCTTGGCAAGAGCAATCCATTTGTAAAGGTGATGTCTTCGGACAGGTTTGAAGAGTGCAGACTCCAGGAACACCTCTCTGTGGTGCTGACGAACACCACACTACACATCAAGTGGTAAATGACACATCATAGGACTGTGCCTGATTCTAAGCTTTTTTTAATGAAAGGGTTTTAGCAGACACAAGCCATTCTTTCTGTAAGCACGTTATTGTGGTCCTGTGTAGTCCTGCTGTCATCGTTGCTTATTGCTAAACGGACTGAGACTGATTGTGGGTTAGCAGCGAAAAATGTTAACAGCAGGTTCCTCAGAAAGGAATTTTTCTTGGTGCCGTTATTGCCTTTAAAAATGATTACACTTTCTTTTTGAATAAGTGCTGTAATTCTGGCCTCTGAGATTGCACATCTCCAAAACCTTGCTATTAAAATGTCTTGGTGCTGTCCCTGTGTGACAACTGGTAGCATCTAATGAGCAGTCTTATCAGGATTTTCACAGGGAACATCTTCATTTACTTTAATCTCAATGATTACATAAAATGTTATAGGAATATTTATTATCTCAGGAGGAACTGAATTTACAGGGCGTCTTAAAGTTTTTTATTTTTCATAGTGTCTAGATTGCTAAAAAAAGTGAGTATTTTTTCTTTGCCTTTTGTTTAATGAGATGTGAGGATGAGACAGACACTATGGTGTGTTTACACATCTTTCCTGTCTGCCTCTGAAATGCCACACACATCTCCAGAACCCCAGTCACACAGTCTTCACCTGTTTAATATTGAATGTGAAGCATGAAGCAGGGCCCAGTTTATAAATAACTAATTAAAAATAATTAAAATAATATCTTGGGGGTGTGGCGTTCTTGTTCAGGAAAGTCTGATAAATGAATTAATTACCTCAAGATACACAACAGAAATATTTATTTTGGCTGAGCAAAATACTAAAAAAATATAGCAATTTCAATTTTATGCTAAAGTAAACTGCTTTAGTTTTGTAATTCGCTGTGTCTTCCATTGCCAAGCCATTAATCTGATGATGATGATGATGATGATTGTTAGTAGCAGTAGTATTAGTATTATCATTGCTCTTGTTGTTTCTGTTGTTATTGTAATAATGAACACATTGGTGTTGGCAGTAGTTCATTTCAGCACATCTGGAAAAGCCCTGTTGATCAGACAGTGACCGATGGTAATTCCAGTGATGTGGACTTCGTTTGTGAAACTTGCTCATGCAGGGTCTGTTTAAATGAAGTGTTTGTTTATACTGCTGTGATGGCATCTCCCTCCTCCTCCTCCTCCTCCTCCTCTGTGTGTGCTCTCTCTGCAATTGTTCACTGTGAATGGCAGTCTCAGGGCCTGCTAAGTGTTTAAATGATGACACTATTATGTGAAGTGATTTTGAAATGAGAGATTTCAGACAAAGGTTGCGTCTGCTCCCATCTCCCCCGTATCTCACTGCTAGCTGTGTAGATTATGATTGATTTGTTTGTGACAGATTGCAGGAAGCAGTCATTGATTTTTCAATATTTTACCTAAAAATTATTTACAGTTGTAACCGTGGGGAGGTATTTCCATGGGCTGTCAGAGCTTGAAAGACTGGGATAATATTCCCTGCTCCATGACAAGACAAATTACCTGTAATGAGCACAGTAGCTGAAGGGTATACTTTTATTTTAAAATATGTCAATAACCCCAGTGACTAAACGAATATTGATTCAGCATAATGAATCCTGAGTAATGTGAAAATGAGCTCTTCAAGGAGCCTGGCAAAGGATTTCTTTTCAGCGCATTACAGGCGCTGCTTCATTCGTCGCTGCTGGTTTGTGAAATGATGCAGATTATAGGCAGATCATTAGCGAATTCTATGCCATTTCTCAGCATAAAGACTACAGATGGGCTCAGCCGATGAGAGGTATCACTTTAACCCCTTTCGGTCGCTCATTTTCATGTGCAGCCTGATTTACAATACTGGGCTTTACTAGCATGGACTGTCTCTAATGGTACAAAAGACTGAAACTAAAGACTTTTTCAGGCTGCAATTTTTTTGTGTATCTTTTTACTTATCCATGTCTAAACTTGTTTTATACTTTGTAACTACAGACCATTAATAACCATTTCATATTGCACTGGTGTAATATCATAACCATATATCAGATATTTTCTGAAACCTCTAATAAGGAGCCTCTTCCTTTGACTTAAGAGTGTAGGAAGCCCCTATTTTCTGTCCAGACCACGTGTTTAGAGGGTCTTGGTTGACAAAAACAGCTGGGGATTTAAAAAGCACCTGAGAGCTGGATTTGGGGACCCCCTGTGGTGTGACAGGGTTGATAGCTTCTGACACCCCCAGAGCCACTAGTCAATCATGATTGCTTTGGAATTCAAAGACGGCAGGGTATCAAGCTGCCTGGGCTCGTTGGCCTTTCTCGGACAGCACTGTGTTCTGCTGTTACTTTACAACAGTTATAAGGTTTTGATCACTTGCAAGTATTAGCAATTGAATATGTACCAGGCAGAATGTGAGACAAGGACAAAGGGAGTTCCCACTGTTCTTAACCCGGCCGCTGTTCCAGATTGCTGCAGAACCAAGTGTGCAAGATCCTGGAAAGCAGGGCCTCAGCAGGGACAGTTCCTTCAAAACCCCTCAGAAAAGAAGCGCCTTCTGTCACTAGGTTTAAAAAGAGCACGTGTCACCTGCAGGAACACCTGGCTTGAGCAGACCGGACCGAAAAT